CACGAAGATAGTTCGAAAAGTTTTTGGCCTGACACAGAAATGCCACAAACAATGTTCTAATTTTAAACATTTTAATCCTTCACAGAGATACTGTTACAATTTTAGACAGATGTGTTCATTAATTTTTTTATTTTGTTCATAAAACAACCAATTTTTGATTCCATCATAATCAGTACTGCCGCTCACATTTCTTCAATTGCAGTCACAAAATTCCATGAATTAGTTTTGCAAGCATCGTATTTCGCGTGATCAAATTTCGCGTGATATGATGAAATACGATATTTGCATAACCAATTCCACCAGAACGATCTAATGGCTATTTTGAATTGTTCAGGGTCATGACTTTGATAACATTTATTTAGGTCAAGATTATTGCAATTTTTATAAGTTTATATGTGTGTAGGATATGTCGCAGTTAAAGTGTTAACTCAGTAAATGTATACACTTACTGCAGTCTGCTTTAGTTGTATTATACATAAATACATGTACATTGACTAATAAATGTATACATTTACTAAATGTTAACACTTTTACTGTGACATATACATTATACATATAATAAAGTTGTAATCCATATATTAGTAAATACTAGTAAATACTATAGTTTTTTATTTTTAATTTAATCGATTATCTATTATCTGTTTCAGACTGTAATTTCGAATGTATTGAATAACGCAAAAGAAATATTGAAAATGTTAGTCACAATGACTGGTTATATGACAAATACTATCTCTATGTGTCAAGAGCTTGTTGCTTCCAATACTGCTGTGAGGTTGTCTACTTCAACTGGAAGTGAGGAATATGATACTGCTAAATTCTAAGAATTTCTTAGTTTAATTTCTTTATATATACGTTATTTGCATTTTGTAATATTTAGTTCTTCATATAAGAATATATTTCAGATAAAGAACCATCTGCTAGATTATCAACAAAATCGCCAGCAAAAGGAGTGGTAAAACCTATGGTGGGTGGGCATACTATTACTAAGCCTACGATAAATTTAAGTCGGATTAATATGCAAAATATTAATGTATCAAGACTGTCTGCTATACCAGAAGCAAGCACACCCACTAGAAGTTCGGAGAATAGATCTCCGACTTCATCAACCTTTATGCCTCTTAGATATGTACGTATACATTTATTTTATATGTCTCATATAATTCTCAGATGTTGATTAGAGACGTGATGACTTCTTGTGCATATATCTTCCGATATATGGGGTCTACAAATTTTTAACGTTGTGTTTGAACGGCCTCAGAAGAGGTTGTTATGGCAAAGACATTCTCGGTGGTTTACCATTGCCTTCCGAGAGTTGACGATCAAATAAAATCTGATATGTTCTGGGTGGATTTGAACCCGGATCTTTAGTACAGAGAGCAACCACGCAACTCTCTCCACGATCGCCACGATCACATATACACTCCAGGTCCTACATTACAAAGGTTTGAAAACATTTTTTTTAAATTGACATATTTTTGGGATTACTTATTAAAATATCCACGTAACAATATCTATATCTAATAACTGTTATTTGATCTGAAAAATTACTGTTAAAGGAAACAACTTTCTTTTAACAATATGGATATTATATTTCAGTAAGTAATTCTAATAATGTCAGTTTTTAAAAAGTATTTTCAAATATTTAGCCTGGATATATGAAACTTATTTCTAAAATTATATAAATTAAAAAGGTAAATGTTAAGAAGTAATGCTTCCCCCCAAAACCGCGGTTTTTTTCTTCAGTAATGAACAAAACTAGTTATAAAAAGATATATACAGTATACCATACTTTAAGAGAGGGCTTGGAGATTTTGTAGAAAAAAATTTACAAAACGAATAAGACAGTTTTATTTTTGAACGCATGGCATAGTATGTTTCTAGGTAGAGAGGGGAGATGAGATGACTTTGTTTCGCGTTGGAAAATGTATGCGTAAAGGCAGTACGTACTGCCTTCCTGCTTTCACGCGTATTTTATAACGCGGAATGAGGACTATCATTTATTCTTATCATTAACAAGACTTATTCATATAGTCGTATATTGAAAGCTATTGACGAATTGCGAGAATTACGTCGACTGTTTATAAAACATCTGTGATTTTCTGTGATTTTCCGATCTTGTTTACATTCTTCAATATATTATTATGGCATATAAATTCACTATTCGTAATATACCTCTATAAGGCCCGTTCCCACCAACACAAATTAACTTTAATCTCGGTTCAACTTACTCTTTTTCTAGTTTTAAAGATTAGAAAAAGACGAAGAGTAAGTTGAACCGAGATTGAAGTTAATCTATATTGGTGGAAATGGACATTATACCAATGTCATCCTCTACATATTATGGAACTTTAATTTACTATGACTCCTAAATCAATGCCGTCCCTCTTAATTTCTTGCGGGAAATCACTTAGACTCTCCTTTACAACATATCTAAAAGACATTCAAATCGATGAGGGATATAATCTAAAGTATTTTATTTACCAAATAAAAAATAAAACTGTCTTATTCGTTTTTGAGATAGAATTTTTTTCTACAAAAACCACAAGCCCCCTCTTAAAACGTTGTATATATGTTTTTTTATAATTAGTTTTGTTCACTATATCGAAAAAAAAAACCATGGTTTTTGAGGAGCACCTCTTCTAAACATTTACTATTAAAAAAATAATAAACTTTTTCTAAACCCTTGTTTCAGGAAAATGGTCATACATGCAGATTACCAGAAAGATTAACAATTTCACCCAGAGTTAATGGTAAGGAATTATGAATAGTAATTTAATTACTTAAAAAGATTCGATAGGAAAAACTATGGAGGACTTCTGTCAGAGACGAATTAAATGAAATTAGACAAAGTCGCAATATAATTGCGATATTCGTAATCAGGAAAATCGCCTGCAGACTTCTTTAAAGCGTTTTTTTTTTGGAAAAGGCTAAATAAAAATTCAGTTTGGTACTTTACTTGATTTGCACTATAGAGCAGATTTTATTTATTGTAATGTTAAGAACTAACTTACAAAAACTGGCTCAAAAAACCTGATCTTGGCGATGTAAGATCAAATAAAATCATTGATATATGATAAATATATCCTTTTAAATCCTATGACTTTTGTCTGAAGCATTTTTCTCGAAAATGCTTTATTTTTGAAATATTCGACTTTTGATCTATCTTGTATATATTTTTAATTGTATTTTGGTCATAATGTTTAATATTTGATTAATTATTTTAATATTGTTAATTGTTTTGTACTGAAGAGATAATAAAAAAAACAGATTAAAATTCACCTTGATATTTAAATAACATACATAATTCGCGATTAATTTGTGTCGGCTCGTAATTGGCACTATTCTTTGTTCACAATTAATTTCAATTAAGTTTAAATTTCTCTATATTTTGCTAATATTTAAATATACTCGCAGTGACAGATGAACAAAGGTTAAGAAGAAAAAGGAGAAGTCATTCAAAAAGATTATCAGTATCTTTTTCGCGATCGGGAAATAGATGGTCCAATGAAACTCCAACAACTGCAGGACATATTAACGTAAGTAATATTATAATAATTAAGCAATAAAATCTAAGGATATTTTTAAATTATTGTGGTACTCTCACATTGTTCATAGTATTATAAGAATTGCTTCATCTATGTGATGTAAAAAATAGTATGCCTAATATTATACTTTACAATATCTTTTAGAGATTACTACATTATTTAAACTTTTTTTATTTCTCTGTAGGTAATTGACACTCGAATTGACATTGAAAGTCAAGAGAGTCATGACACGTCTGACGATCATCTGACAGATAGAATAAACGCAATATCAGAATCACAGCTGCCTATTAATTCGAACGAGAAAAATGAAACGCACGTAGATACATCGAAGTCAGATCCTGATGTACAAATAAATAATAAAATCTCTAAAGATTTTAGTAGGAATTCGAGTGTAACGGAAAGTTCTAAACTGCAAAATAATAGTAGAACTTGGGAGGAAGAGGATCCATTGGAAGGTCCAAGTTGGCTGTTCAACAATACCATACCACCACGAGATAATGAACCGGAACTCGAGAATGATGACGTCTCTGACGTTAACAATAATACGTCACAAGTAATAGTGTATGATGATTCGAGTGTTACAGAAAGCAACGTAGGAGATATATCGAATTTAAATGAATCTATGAACGATATGCAAATTCCAGAGAGATATTCCCTTGCCGATCGTTCCGAGTGTGACTCTTATATGCATGAGCATGATACGAACGATAGTATTTGCGAGATACTTCCGACAGCAGCCATATCCAATGATAAAAAAAATTTAGATAACGTAGAAGATGGTAATGCAAATGATACAATGAAATTCACGAGCTTCGTAACGCTGAGACGAGGACATTCCGAAGCACCGGAAGAGACAGAAGACTTTACCTTAATGTTACGTCCACCAAGACAAAATATGCAATTTGATATTAATGAGCTGCGACTGCCTGTTTTGGAGGAATCCGTGATAAATAATTCCGCTGTCAATAATGAAATTGATACTAAAGTAACCGCCACGATACCAAGAGTTACGAGTATTCCGATCGCATCTGTATCGAATCAAAGTTTAGATAAATCTGATTATAATCATATCACGATAAAAGTGCCAATAATTCTAGTTGGCGATCATCAGAGAACGTCGACATCGCAGAAAACAAAGCATTCCAGTAATAAGAAATCGAGGACACCGAGTATGAAAGACAGAACGAGTCACGTTGAAAATTCTCCGACGATTAAAAACAAGGCGAAACTGAAAAATAAATCTATGAGTAATCGTGATCCTAGCACAGCAAAAGTCGTTTTAGAAAAGCTGAATGAATCTCATGTTAAACCAAACATGGCTCAGAATGTTAATAATGTTATGTATGTATAATTATAATTATAAATTGTTACAAACCATTGGATTGTATGCTTTTATACTCTAAATTTGTAGGAGAGATAGCATCATGTCTAATGAAGATGATCAACAAGATTCGGAAAGTAGCAGCTATCCTAGTCGCCCTAAACGAAGAAAGGCGCCGACAAATTTGAAAGAACCTAAGTTGAATAAGTAAGTAAAAATTCTCTGTTTGGATTGGATAGAATATGTCCAGAGATAGAATTTGAGCTATTTAAAATATTCGACTTTCATATATGACATAAAATTGTATTTCTTTGCAGGAAACTAAGACGAGATTAATAAGGAGACTGATATGCATTATCAAGATTAAATGAAGAAAATTATTACTCGCATTATCGATATCGATAATATATTACTGAAAATTATTTCTTTTTTGCTTGACAATTGAGTTGTGAGAATAATGTAAATGGATTATATATAAATTATCTGAATAGCTGTTAAATTTTAAAATCGATGGTGATGTTTGTTAGTTGAAATTGTGGGAATTATATGGTTGATTAGGCTGTCCTAATAATCTCGTGGAAACATTATATTGCCAATATATTACTTCTTCCGTTGATACGTCGCACTATGTTAATTTTGTATTATTATGAGTATGAATATACATGTACACAAAACATGCTCATAATCTTCCTTCTACAGTATTATTGGTACAATACCATATTTTTTTGTATACCGCCAGATTTATTTTAGTAAATATGACTGAGGTGTGTGTAGATGGCGAGTAAATTATTTTTTTCCAGCCTTTGTTACATCATTAATTTACAATTATAATAATTTTTTTTATAATAGACATGTTTATTATATAATATCTATTATTTTTTATTATCGACTATTTATAATTAGACATATGTAAAGTTTGTATATATGAAGGTACAACAGAGAGAATGTGTCCACGTAGGGGCTTGTGTGGTTCAGTGGTACAGTAATTGCCTAGTAAGGGAAACTGAAAGACCAGCTGAGCCTCGATTCGAATCCCTATAATGTTATGAGTGTCATGATATTGTCGGCTTACACACATGCATAACATTATTGACGTTTTGGATATCACTGGTCGATGACATCCGGCTTCGAGGCCTAGTCTCCGAGTTTCACCTACTAGGCAGCTACTGAGCCACACTTCAAAATGACTTGCTCGAATCTCGATTGTTCTCTCAGTCTCGTTTCTCGGTTTCGTTTTAATTTTAATTATCGAAGAATTTTCAGCGTGATTCGTTCAGTCTTTCATATTCGGTGTTTTTTATTTCTTACTATTATTGGAATGCTTTGCCTAGTGCGATGTTGACCTTTCCTTGTGATCTCTATTTTTGTTATTATATTACATGAAATATCAGAAAAATCACATTTTCAAACACATTTCGAATTTTTTCTTCTAACAAGTCGAGGCGTTTTTAGTTAAGAGTTTCTCATTCTCTACTCTTTTAAATTACAAATTTTTTTGTTATCTGATTTTCTTATCTCCCTGAAGAGAACGTTTTCCGGAGAATATTCTTGCAACGAAGAGGTCCCCAGCACGAAATTAAGCACGAGGTGAAACTGTTTCGCCGTGCTCTCCCGCGAAATGATTGATCGCCGTCGGAAACGGCCGGCAGCTTTCGTGCGCAAATAAAAAGGCTTGGCCTCCGTGTACTCGAGTAGTGTTATGTGTATATGTATAAATGGATTTAACCTTCTGCGCGCTTCCACGCTAGAACTGCGAGCGAGCACGGGCGCGCGGGGGCGGAAATTAATTATGTTTGTTTAATTTCGAGATGAAAAAAGCAGCTGGCGCTGCCTCGCCCATGCGGCGTTCGTGTGACTTTAATCCGAGCAAAACGAGAAGAACGAAGACAGAAAGACAGAGAAAGAGACAGTCGTTGCTGAAATTACTCTACATGAAGACTCTAAAAAGGTACTGTGATACTTGATTAAATTTTAAGCAGTAGTTTAACAAATGTGTTTCGATCACGTGGGGAACCGATAAAAAAGATAACTACAATATGCATGCTTAATCATCAGCATATGACAACAGTAAAATACACATGTAATACATTGATGGATCCAAAAATTTGTCAAGAAGGGATACGCCGTAAGTGAATTTTTTTTAAGCTCAAATATGAAAAGATAGAGTATTAGATTATTATTTTAAAAAAGTAAAATTTACTGAATTTTTGTTATCCTATAGATTTTTCTTAAACAAAATAACTTTTTTATTCAAAATATCTTTTCAATTAATAATTCTATTAAAAAAATAACAGTATGTACACATTAAATAATGGCTTAAACCAAACACCACACTGTTATATGTATATAAATTATATTATTATAATGTTATATACGACAACATATAAAGTTTACAATAGTTTTCATTTTCGAATAACTTCGCATATTTGCATCAAAATTGCTCGGTCGCTTAAGTTTTTAAATTTTAGGATTGTTACTTTTGACAATTCGAATCTTTAAATTTAAAAGTTTAATGCCTTTGTGAAACTTTGAAAAATATATTTATGCGAATAGAAAAAAGGCTAAACACGTAGCTGCCTCGCGACGCTGTTTCGATCAGCCGCTCATTAAAAAGAGGAAGTAACGCGATATATCGCGGAATATTAGCGACATGATCATTAGGTGAACGCCAGAAGGTACAATGTGAATCGATGTATCGGCATGCCATCGGTCACGTCGCAATGCCGCATGCTTGTCGTTCTCGCCGGATATTGACGCCTCACGCTCGCATTTCCTCGCGCAGACCGGAAAATCACTGGCGAGACCCGGGAGAAGCGTCCTATTAACTATGCCGCGGATGGAATTGTCCACTTTGAGATTATTCTCTTGCGTGTCTTTACTTTCGTGAGAGCATGCACGCACCTATTTTACGACATATGAATGCAAGTCGAGAATCGTATAATTGAAATTGATGTGAGATCGCACGCGAATGTCATTTAGAAAATCACCTGCTTTTTCTCGCTTTCCTTAACCATGACACTTGAATTAATGATACGTATTATACATATATTCCGGTAACAAAAGGAAATATCATTCAAACATAGAAAGACTGACTTTGCTGAAGTATGCAAAAATTTAACTACATACAGATCTAACAATAATTGTGTTGATTCGATTAATTTAATCACACTTCGATTGTAATTCAGAAATCCGTTATAAATATCTGACAGGAAATCTTTGCAGTAAAAATATTATAAAAGAAGGGGATAGTGCGAAAAATTGTATGAAATAAATGTTTTAATTAGTGTACCTTACTTTGGAGCATAGAATGCCGTTTAAATTTCATTACTTTATTACGTCTCTCTTGCTTTTCCTAAACAACCGATTCGAATAACATTTCAGCAAATAACGCGCGTCTTCAACAAGATTTTCTTGGAAAAGATTTCGAGGAAAACGATCAAAGGAGGTTTCTTGAGAAAATGTACGCGGACGGAATGTGTAGTAAAACGCAAATTTATTCGAAAATACACTCGATAAACAATCGGAGTATTTTTATTGAATTTATTTCTCAGATTAGCGTACGAGAAGTAAATGTACCTCTAAAAAGTTTTCACGAATTAGAATATTAAAATACTGATATATAAAAATAAATATTAAACTACCGGTACATAATAATAAATTAACAATTAAAAAAAACAAAGAATTAATCAAAAGAGATTAAAAGTATTATGACGCGCGCGCGCGTGTAAAGAAATTTCTACAAATTATAAAAGAATATTAATCGAACAGAGTTGAACTTTAGATAGACGTATTCAAAAAATTCACCATGTCGTTTCGAAAAATCTGCTAGACGTATTCTTGTTCAAATTTCTCGCTTTTCTTGATAAATAGCATTTAATGGTACATAAATGAGCGACAACGATATACAGAATTTGTGACATATGAATAACCTGAAGTGTTAATTTATCTTGAAGTTGATGCCTGAAGCTCTCACGGTCGAATGCATTAACCAAGGACGATAATGACGATCGTTTTGGTCGTCCTGAAAGTCACTCGGTGCATCACAAACACAATTGTATAAGATGCAGACGGTCGATTACTGACATTATGCAGAGTACAGTACAATTGAGATTAGGGCTTACTGATATGCTTTTATGCAAATAATATTGATGTGACAAGTGGAGTCAATAAGTAACTCTCGCTTCAAGTTGCTCATTTATAAAAAGGTGTATTTTTCGTTCGAAGGAAGTTTCATGTGATGCCAACAATTAATCATCAATCTCGAACTTCTACAATAAAGTCCATATCAGACTGTGTTAAATAATATTCAAAATTGTTATATCAGTGTTAAAGTCTTTATGTTATAAAATAATACAATTTACTAATAAGTGAGCAATTAACAAAAATAATGTATTTTAAAATGTAAATTCTAAGATAAATGAATAAAACGTGTTACTCTAACATATAAATGTTAATTATATATTTTATTAAGGAAATATTCCTCTACAACTTATTAAATTGTGTTATATTTTTTGTGTTTAGTTTTACATAATATTTATATTATTTCCTAATATATTTATCTTGTGCTATAAATTAATACACGAATTTAAATGGATTTTTTAGAGCACGTGAAGCGTGTTTTTAACACAAATTTTCCAATAGTGTACGCATCGAATATTGAGTATCGAAACTTGAACATTTTAGAATTCAAATAATCAGATAATTTTAATTTTTATTTATTTCGTTCGGATTCTAATTTCTAATTAGCCCAATATGAACTTAAAAAAATTAGAACCTCCACAAGAAATTTGGATAAGCGAAATTGTTTTAAAAAAATCCAACAATATTATGATATCGAAATTTCATTAATTACGCGAATACAATAGTTTTCTATATGGTGGATGGAGCAAAGATTTTGCCATCTCGAAAATATGCGAATTTTGATGCAAATGTTTCGCGATGCCTAATTTTTTTACACGAGGTTTTTAAAAATCGTTCAATTTCGGCAAACGTAGAAACTCGTTTGCCTGCCCAAAGCGATGAAAAAGGAGACCATAAATCTGCGGACAGACGCGTGGAAGCGAGACAACGAACATAAAGCATCGTTCCCACCTATATAAATGAATCTTTCGATCAATATAATGAAAGAAATTGATTAGTCTCTGAAATTGGTTTTATCGGTACCGCGTATGTTTTAAATGATCTCAAACGATCCTCTGCATTTCTCATATATGATGATAGCTCGTATCTCCAGCTATTTCGGAATGTCTGTCAGATAAACATGCACCTTAATCCTGTTACCGGCATTTCGATCCCTTCCCTATCTGCCAAACTCCCCACTACAAACACGAATATTCAACCAGGTACGCATGCGCCCGTCATTTCCCAGTAGCTCCGATCGGTCGACCAATCAGGCGCACCGGATGGCGACATCGCCGGCCAATCGGCGCCGCGTTCGATGACGACAGCGCTATTTTCAGCCGGCGTGACTCACGGGATATAAGCGAGTACGTTTAGTTGGATGTTCACAAGTTGTCGGGCCACCGTGGCGGACAGGGTGATCCGCGTTCGCGCAAAACACGTCGCCGCGATCCCGTCGTGCTACGTAACGTTATCGTTTTGTGGAGCAGAAAGACGGCACACGCGCACCACGTTGTGTCGTGAGTCATTGTTGTGTTGACAATCGAAGCAGGCGGGAGGCAGGAAAGAGAGCAGACAGGCGAGCAGGCAGGCAAGCAGGTTGCCGCTTCTCAGCACAGACCGGTTGTAGTGCACGCCAAAGACGTGCGTTAAACATCGCTGTCTTCTGCACCGATTTTAGTCGACTTTGATCGACTTCGTTTGTATCAAGTGTCACCCGTGCCGGGGTGATTGGTGGGCGATATATACGCCGAGTGACGTGACGGAGGTGCGGCGTGGAGTAAGGAAAGACGGCAGTCGTACCGCGAGTGAATTTTTGCGTACAGCCGCTCGCGGCTGTTATGTAATCGCTGCAGCGCGGAGCGAAGTGTTTGCGCGTTGACGTAGGCAAAGAAGGAGAGAGAAAGATAGAAAGAGAAAGAGAGAAAGAGAGAACGTGAAAGACGACGGAGAACGTCGCAGAACTTGTTGACGTGTTAAAACTTCAGGAAAGTCCGTCGTTCTATTTAACTCTTTCGGACCGGCTTAAGCGAGTCGTGTGCTACTACTCCGGGGGGAACGACCGCTTTCCCGTCCGGAGGCGAGAAATTAGAAGGAGTCGAGGGTAAAACCTCGGTATTCCCTAATCGAGGAGAAGTGAATTAGTCCGGCGGCATCGATGGTGCGCAGCTTAACGATGGAGCAGACGTTCTACGAGGACGCGAGCGTCTATGGCGCGATGAATGGTCGCGAGAACAGCGTGGTCCAGCTGAAGCGGAATCTCACGCTCGACCTGAACGGTTGCCAGAGGCAGGGCTCGCAGGCGAAGAGGCCACGCTTAGGCCCGCTGCCACCCGCCCTGAACAACGTCACTCCGATTCTAAGCTCGCCGGATCTCAACATGTTGAAGCTGGCTTCGCCCGAGCTGGAGAAACTGATCATGACGCAACCGGACGGTCTGGTAACCAGTCTACCCACACCGACCACCCAGATCCTCTTCCCCAAAGCGGTCACCGAGGCCCAGGAGTTGTACGCGCGCGGCTTCGTCGAGGCGCTCAACGAGCTTCATCACTCCGACAGCTCGCAGGAACCCGGCAGCATGCACGGCGCGACGTACACGACTCTGGAGCCGCCCGGTAGCGTACAGAGTACAGAGTCCACTATGAGCAATCCCGGCCTGGTGCACGTTAAGGATGAGCCGCAGACGGTGCCGAGCGTGTCGAGCACGCCACCGATGTCGCCGATCGACATGGAGAACCAGGAGAAGATCAAGCTGGAGAGGAAGCGGCAGAGGAACCGCGTGGCCGCCTCCAAGTGCCGACGGCGCAAGCTCGAGCGCATCTCCAGGCTCGAGGACAAGGTCAAGCTGCTCAAGGGCGAGAACACCGAGCTGAGCGGCATCGTGCACAAGCTCAAGGAGCACGTGTGCCGGCTTAAGGAGCAGGTCATGGACCACGTGCACGCTGGCTGTCAGATCATGACCGTCAACAACCAGTTTTGAACCTCCCCATCGCTCTCCCTCCCCAATCGAGGAGGGATGACGAACGAGCCAACCCTCGCCTCGCTCTCGGCCACCCCTCGAGGATTCGCTGTCACCGTGCTCATCATCTTCTTGCCCCATCGCGAAGGTAGTTTTTTTCGCGAATAGAACGAACAGTGAACTTTCTTGCAACTACGGCCGATGTGTTGGATCTCCTTTTCTACGATTGCGATCGAAAGGGAAATTCTCAGCTGGCACCATACGCTTATCGTTCGGAAACGTCTCTCTTCTTATCTCAACCACACGAATTCTTTGTTTCTTTTACGATACCAAGGAGAAAAAAGATAAAGTTCAATTATGTCTATATCGATATCGCCAAGGAGTTGAGGAGAGACAGAAGAGGCGGTATCTTCGACGAGCGCAGGATAATCCTATCGTCATCCTGAAGAAGGATCTTCGAGGGAGAAAGAAGAGAGGGAGAAAAGTGGGAGCGAGTCCATCGTTCGCTTCACGTTCGCTGTTTTCTCTCTTGGTTCTTTTGTGACATGATCGGGGAGGAGACGATCACACAACGACGGCAAGAACAGTAAGCAGCAGGCGGAGCAGGAGGAGGAGGTGGTGACGGTCGTGGTGGAGAAGGAGGAAGGAGTGCCTTCGTACACAACGTGAAACGTAAAGGATGCTTTTAGGAGAGTGGCGGGCGTGCGCGCGTGCGTGTTGCGCGCATGCGAAAGACTTTACACGCACGAGCACGCTCGGCGACAGGCGAATGCGTGTATCATATGCGAGAGAGAAAGAGAGAATATATGTAACAGGGAGAAAATGTATGCATGCAGAGAGAGAGAGAGAGAGATCGCGCGAGGTAGCACGAGGGGGAGTATCGCGGCGGCCATTTTGGAGAACGCGAGAGAACCGGCGGGAGATTCAAAGCTACCGAGAGCTGTCCAAAGTAAACACCAACTAACAGTAGCATAATTGTTATAATTTCACCCTCAGTAACGTAACTGTTATATACAACATGTGTTGTATATCACATCTATCAATGAAATCTAGAGATTATGTTTATTTTTTATTGAATGCACTTTCGCGAGAGAGACTCGAGCATTCCGCTAGTCTTGTAAACTTCTACCTTGGTGCATACAAAATGTCGCATTATAATGTTACATTATCTTCAATGTGAAATTGTAATATTGACGTTACTATTGGTGTTTACTGAATGAAGCTCTTTTCTTTCCTCCATCTT